CAACATTTAAATTAAAATGTTCTTTTAAAAGTTTAAAATTATAGGTTACTGTTCTTAAAAAAATAAATAAATAAAAAATCCTGTACTTAAAGGTATTAACATATAGTAGCCAACTCATCAACACCTGGAAATGTTGCCTGGATATAGACTATATGTCATCATAAATTTATATACAAGTCATTTTTGTTAAATTTTGAAATTTATGTAGCATGTACACATGACATATTTGATTCCTCCGCGTACCAATAGTGGTACACGTACCACAGTTTGAGAACCACTGGTCTACAGAACAAACCATCATTATAAAATGACTTGCCTAATTACCCTAACCTGCCTACTTAACCTAGTTAAATCTTTTAATTACATTTTAGTATCTTGAAAAATATGAAGTGCAATATTATGTGCTGTCATCAAGGCAAATATTCGGTTATTAAAAATGAGTTATTAGTTTAGAAATGTGTTGAACAAATCTTAATAGTACTAGTTCCCAACTGAGATGACTAGATGTTGTTTGAGTGTTGGATCTACAGATGAACACAGAGTTCTGAACACAATGTGCCTGATGGAGAAAAGAGACAGACACAAACTCACAATGAGTCTTTGTCGTCTGAAATTACCATCAAAAATGAACATTTTTCTCAGCCTCCTTTTGTTTATGTTGAGTTATTTCACTTTAAAGGCGATGAAAAAGGACTCATCCTTTGCCGTAAAAGTGAAATTACTAAACCTGCAAACAGGAGCCTCACAAAAATGCTCATTTGAGAAGAATTTTTCAGACGGCATAGAGGTTTTCGCATCTGAACTCTTCATTTGTTTTTAGTGCGGTCACTCGTGTCTACGTGACTGCGACCCGTCTGCATAAACAGAGGTGCACAGTTGTACAAATCTATAAATCTATAGTCTAAATCTACGCATCGATGAATTGGCTCTTCAGTGTTTGAACTCTCAGTAATGATTAAATCACACTGAACTGAGCTAAACTGAACTGAACTGAACTTAAACACTAAAACCTGAACCACACTGTTCCAGTTACTGAACCACACTGTTCCAGTTACTATGACCATTTATGTGAAGCTGCTTTGACACAATCTACATTGTAAAAGCGCTATACAAATAAAGCTGAATTGAATTGAATATTTGTCGGCAGACAGTTTGGGCTACTGATTAGAATTATTCAACAGTATCTGGATGCAGCCTTTATGATGCAAGCTGAGACTGCATCACTCAGCGATGCAATGTCAGACACAATGCACTCAAATGGAGCTAGTGACGTCACTGTGATGGGTAGGGTTAGGGGTGGGGTTAGGTGAGCCCATTAAAAAGCATTGGATGCAGCCCAGATTGCACTGCGCCAGGTCTGCAGCCAGACCCCTCTCGAATTATTGGAATTATCAGCATGACAAATTTTAATTGGATGAACATTTTTTAGTCTTATGCCTTATCCAGAATTTAAAAAAACACATATAAATACAGATCATTTACTTTAATCAGTACTATTGGAATGTGAAGAGACTTTCAACCAGCACAACAAAAGACGATCACCAACTGCACCTTTAACTTAATCGTTTACAAATTTAAGTTGATTGAACATAAAGCAACTCAATTCATCTTTATTTCTATAGCGCTTTTACAATGTAGGTTGTGTCAAAGCTGTTTAACATAGAAGTTCTAAAGTGAAACTGTGTCCAGTTTTTAGAGTTGAACTTCAGTTTAGTGTGGTTTCAAGAGCTCGCCCTTAGCTGAAGATTGATTATGGAGCTTGTTTGGCATGCTGTCCTGGGAGATCCTCAAGCCCAGGGCTCCCTCCCGTTGCAGGGTGAGAGGGGAGTCCAAGTTCAGGTAGGTCTCGAGAACTCCCCTGCTTGATAATCTTGGAAGTAGATTAATGCTATGAAGTGTCTATGCTGTCATTTTAGATTTGTCAATGTGCTTATGTTACATGTTTTTGGTCTGTGGGAGGAAACCGGAGAGCCCGGTGAAAACCCACACAAACACGAGGAGAACATGCAAACTCCTTTACTGAAATGCCGACCTGGCCAGGAAGTGTCCGAGCCGGTGACATTCTTGCTGTGCGGCCGTGGTGCTTACCACTAGGCCTCCGTGCTGCCCTGACGAGGAAATGGGAGGAGTAGAGGTGGAAGCGGGGATTCTTCAAGACGAAGATGGCTGAAGTAAGCTACTCTGGTTTTGTATAGTGATTGAGGAGTCGTCTGATTGGTAAATCAGTATTAGATAACGTTAACCAGATGTTATCAATCATAAGCACGTGCTCCTCTCGAAATTAGTTTATAAATAAACTTCACTTAATTTTCACTGCTGAAATTCAAACACTGAAGAGCAAATCCATCGATGCACAGCTCCACAAGTCCCAAATCAAGCTGTCCAAAAGAAAACTTAAATAATTGTGTTGGTTCAACTCATTTTAAGTGAGTAGTTTGAACAAGCAGCAAACGTCATGTTTGTTGAGTGCAGTAGGATTCTTCCCTCTTGAGTGTGCGTAATCGAATGCATCATGTGACCCAGTGACATCATTCACACACCATATGTTTTCTAAAAAAAGCTTTATTACCTTATCAAATATAACAGATGATATTTCATAGTATGAACATGTTTCGTAAGAGGGTCATATGTAGAATCAATCACACACACAATAAGTGCTTTGCGGAGAAGTGACAGTTTATATACACATACAGTACATACATTAAGCCAAAAGCATCTTATGATGTCCTGAGGGTAAAAGGTGAAACATGAGGAGCGATTACAGGAGGATCCGTTATACATGAGCAAGATGTTTGAGTATGAAAATGTTCATTCCTGCTGGAAGAAACTATTTTTTTACACTCAGAAATTACTTTTTTTGAGCACGGTGGCTCAGTGGTTAGCACAGTTGCCTCACAGCATAAAGGTCACTGGTTCGAGTTCAGGCTGTGTCAGTTGGCATTTCTGTGTGGAGTTTGCATGTTCTCCCCATGTTATTGCAGGTTTCCTGCGGGTGCTGCGGTTTCCCCCACAGTCCAAACACATGCTCTTTAGGGGAATTGGGTAAGGTAAATTGGCCGTAGTGTATGTGAATGAGTGAATGTAAGAGTGTATAGGTGTTTCCCTGTACTGGGTTGCAGCTGGAAGGGCATCCGCTGTGTAAAACCTATGCTGGATAAGTTGGCAGTTCATTCCGCTGTGGCGACCCCTGATAAATAAGGGACTAAGGCAAAATAAATGAATGAATAAATGTATTAAATCTTCCCCAGAGATGGGTTGTGGCTGGAAGGGCATTCGCTGCGTAAAAATGTGCTGGATAAGTTGGCGGTTCATTCCGCTGTGGCCACCCCGGATTTATAAAGGGACTAAGCCGAAAAGAAAATGAATTAATTAATTATTTAAATTTAGTTTTTCAGAATAAATATGTAAATGTGCTTAAACAGATCAATTAAAAAAAAAAAAAAAAACATGTTAAGTCTTGAAGGAGAATAAAACTATCTGATTTTTATTTCTTTAATAAAAAATATCTGGCAACAAGGTAAGAAAAGTCAAATGAAGTTTTTTTCTTACACCGTTGCTATTTTAAGCATAACTTAATTGTGATCGTTTTTGATAATAATAATTCATTAATAATCATAATAATAGTCAGATTTCATTTGCTTCTCGAGTAAATGTTGATGTCAGAATGATTAGATATTTGTACTGGAGAATATAGTATATAATAATATGATATTTTCTACATAAGAACAAGACACTTTCCAAAAACGTAAAAATACTAAATTTTCAGTCATTCATTCATTTTCTTTTTGGCTTAGTCTCTTTATTAATCAGGGCTCACCACATTGTAATGAACAGTCAACTTATCCAGCATATGTTTTACACAGCGGATGCCCTTCCAGCTGCAACCCATTACTAGGGAAACACCCACACTCTCTCATTCGCACACATCCACTATGGACAATTTAGCCTACCCATAACCTGTATTGCATGTGTTTGGACTGTGGGGAAAACCGGAGCACCCGGAGGAAACCCACACACTCAGGGAGAACATGCAAACTCCACACAGAAATGCGCCGGGGCTCTGTCAAGCTTTCGAGCGAGGGAAACAAGCCAAAGCATTGTGCATATGGATTGTCTGACACCCGGTATCCTTAAAGTTTGGACGGGCTGGTAGAATTTCTTCCCTATTCAAAACCAAAAACCCCAGAGGAGAGATGCGTGGATCAAGCTGTGTGAGGAGCGCTAAAAGAGCAGAGATAAGTTGGTTTTGTTTTGATATTCCTGACACATTTATTAATAACGGCAATAACTCACGCACCTCTTACCCTAAACAGATCTAAACTGTTTCCTACAAAAATACCAAGCAGGTTATGTTCCCCTGCGGTCTTTCTCTTGTTTTTTCTCGCTCGATATTATGAGCACTGCTCCCTTTAAGCCTTCACCATAGTAGTCAAACTAATAGCGAGTAGGTCATCATGAGTTATTGATCCAGAAAATACGAATCTGCAAATCTGTTGCTAACTTTACTGAACTTCATATTTCCATCTGTTAAAAATATTTAAAAGTACAAGAACGAAACTCACACTTGTGATTAATATACTTTACCAGCGGCTGTTTTTCAGTCTTTTATAAAGAGCACACAAACATACTGAGAGTTATAGGTAACCTACTGTACATTGTTATGAGTCAATGATGCTAATATTCGGCACAAATCCATCAGTTCCCCCTTTCTGGCTGTTCTTTCTATGAATGAACTAACGTTATGTAAAAGCAGTCCATGCGTGTTTCCTCGTCGGTTAGTAACGCTATAATTCATTGCACAACAATAGTCTATCAGGCTTTTTGGCTAAAAATAGAGAAATCACGGTTTAATTAGTTATTAGATTATTTTTAAATGTCACCTCTCCTGCTGAGCATGAGCTAAGCTGTTGAATGGTTAGCGTATGAGGCAGCTAGGCTAAGCTAGCTTCAATTTTGATTGAATTATTCTCTAATCGGTTGCCTATTATGTGGTTAATATACCCCTGTTATGCATACTGCAGTCCTTTTTTTGTCTGGCTTTCTCGGATATCTAATCTGTCCACCAAAAATGACATTATATCCCTGGCAATGTCTGACACCAGCGCATACACATAGTAAAAAGCCGTGCCAGGCACAAAAGTTTTCCTTTTCTGGCTGTTCTTTCTATGAATTAACTAACGTTATGTAAAAGCACTGTCCATGCGTGTTTCCTTGTTGGTTAGTAACGCTATATTTCAATGCACAACAATAGTCTACCGCAGAAATCGCGGATTAATTAGTTATTATTAGATTATTTTTAATTGTCACCTCTCCTGCTGTGGGGGGGACTAGTGGGGGAAACCAGGACACCTTAGAAACTCCACACAGAAATGCCAACTGACACAGCCAAGGCTCGAACCAGCGACATTCTTACTGTGAGGCGACATCGCTACCCGCTGCGCCACCGCACCGCCCTTCCATATAAATATATAATAATATATTAAAAATTACATGAATATATAAATGTTATATATATGCCTTTTTTCCCAGTATAAATATCTAAACTTTTGTAAATCAAGATTAACATATAAAGAAAAGCCTGGTTACCCTATATTTTACCTTATTTTTATCAAAAGAATAATTATGATCAAATAAAAAAGTACCGACTGAACATCTGGACTCATATGTGCTTCTCAAATAACTGCATCTACTTTTAACTATGTTGTTTTTTCAGTCTGTACCCTGATCGACAGTGTTAATCGGGCCATCTGCGCCCTCAGCAGGACATCAGAAGCGGGTTGGCTGTGTTTGGATGACCCGGGGTCACAGAAGGCCGTGACCCTGCGCTGACCTCTTCAACTCCGTCCAAGAGCTCAGAGGAGAGAAGCTGCTGACAGAGCGTGTTCACCACCTGAACCACCGGAGTCACGTCTGACAGAGCACAAAAGACAGATTTAGCTGAAGTAAAACAGCACAAAACTAAAGACAGAAGGGCTGATCTTACCGGGGCTTCTTCTGGTGCACAGATCCAGAGTGTTGATCAGGATTTTCCCTAGAATCCTGCGGGAGACTTTCTGTCAGAACAAAACACAGCAGAGAAGCAGAGGCGTTCATTACACAGTGTAAGCACTAGGTGGCAGTGTGGACCCATTTATCGCACGGATTCCTTGATGTGCTAGTGGACAACACAACTCCCCAAGCAGAGGTTTGTGAACATGAGAATCTTAAACAAACTTGATGTTAGCTTGTGAAAGACTAGTGTGGATGTTTAAGATAGATAGATAGATAGATAGATAGATAGATAGATAGATAGATAGATAGATAGATAGATAGATAGATAGATAGATAGATAGATAGATAGATAGATAGATAGATAGATAGATAGATAGATAGATAGATAGATAGATAGATAGATAGATAGATAGATAATTTCTAACATTAGCATAATTTGACACAATGCTAACATGTTTTATGCAATGATAGCATAGCACAGCTAATAAGTTTTCCCACATTTCTAGTATTAATATTTTTACACTGCAAACGTTTTAGCACATTGCTAAGACAACTTATAACATTTGTAGCATGATTTAGAACACTGCAAAATCGTATACACCATGTTTGGTAGATATATATTTTGTCTTTTGTAGCGTTTTCATATACCGCACTCTCTATTTTTTAGCATAAAATGGCTAAAATTAAATTTCACACTGCTCACATTTCCGAGTGAACACGTTGATAGCATGATTTAGCATACTGTTAGCTTGTTTTTTCCCTCCAAGTATGATTTTTCCACTTCCGTCTGTTAAAGTAAGCTACATTTTCATACAATGCTAACATGTTTTATTACACTGATAGCCTAGCACACGGGTACCCTGAGTTTTTCCACATTACAAACGTTTTAGCACATTGTTAAGATGATTTTACATATATTGTAGCATGATTTAACACACATATAGCATGTCTTAGGGCACTGCTAGAAGAATTTTGTTGTGTTTGTAGCGTTTCAATTTATCTCACTGCTGACATTTTAGCATAAAATGCCCACCCCCCAGTATAATTTTCCACACGTCCAGCTGCTAAGTTTCTAACATTAGCATTGTCACAATGCTAACATGTTTTATTACAATGATAGCATTGCACAGCTAACAAGTTTACCCACATTTCGTGTGTGATTTTTTTAAAAACGTTTTAGCACATTGCTAAGACAATTAATAACATATTTAAAGCATGATTTAGCACACTGCTAGCAAAATCATATGTATCATGCTTGGTATATATATCTATATATATATATATCTCTCTCTCTCTCTCTCTCTCTCTCTCTCTATATATATATATATATATATATATATATATATATATATATATATATATATATATATATATATTGTCTTTTGTAGTTTCTGTTTCTGTTTACCTCACTGTCAATGTTGCTAGCATGTCAATTGCTAGCATGTTTCCAACATGATTTAGTCGGAACAAATACACAGAGTATAAAAGTTAATGGCTGACTTTTCCAACCTTCTCATTTGTGCTCAACAATAAAAAGAAACTCACAGGTTTGGAAAAACTGGAGGATGAGTAGATGACAACCAAAACAAAAAAAAGATTTTTGGTGAACCTTCCCTTTATTTTGTTTCTAGCATGATCTAGCTTGCATGTTTTAACAGGATTTACACACATAGCATTTTTGTCCTCACATTTCTACTGATATTTAATTTCCCACACTGCTAACACGTATGTTATTTAATTCAGCACACAGTTAGCATGTTTTAGCAAATTGCTAGCATGTTTCTAACACGTTGTAGTATAGAATGAGTCAAATTTTCTATATCATCATATATAATATCACATCATATCATGTCATGCCATTGACTTTACTTAGCGATCATCCTGAATGTACCTAAAGGGAATTAAAGTTCGCTCAAAATTATTTTACTCACCCTAAATTGTTCCAGCTAGTCACAATTTTTATTAATTTTCTTTTTTAAATAAAGGACATTTTGGCGTCATGGTGGCACAGTGGTTAGCACTGTCGCCGCACATCAAGAAGGTTGCTGGTTCAAGCCCCGGCTGGGTCAGTTGGCATTTCTGTGTGGAGTTTGCATGTTCTTCCCATGTTCGTGTGGGTTTTCATGTGCTATAAGTGATTTGGGCAAGCAAAAATTGTCAATAGTGTATGTGTGACTGCAAGAGTGTATGGCTTTTTTCCAGTGTTGGGTTGCGGCTGGAAGGGCATCCACTGTGTAAAACATATGCTGAAAAAGTTGCCGGTTCATTCCACTGTGGCGGTCCCGATGAATAAAGGTACTAAGCCGAAAAGAAAATGAATGACTTAATAGAGGATAGTTTGACCAACATAATCTGACCTTGTGTGGAATCTGCAGCAGTAAAGTGAGCGCATCGGTCAGTCTGTCCTCCAGAGCGGATCTCACACTGTCCTCTTTATGCTTCATCTGCAGAGACAGCAGTTGATCAGAGAAGATCACTATGACTCCAGCAAACACACACTCAGATCCTTCTTCGTGTCTCACCTGTCCTGCTGCACCTCTTCTGTCATCCGCTGGAGGAATCCACACACATCCTGCAGCTTCTCTGCTGTGAGCTGAGCTCTGAGACACCAGCCAGGTACAGATCGCAGCTTTCTGACATCTGTATATAGAGAACATGTCAGATTATTGCAAACATCCATTACTACTACTCATGGTGCAGAGATTGATTTGGTGTCCCAGTACAAATATCTTGGAATTTTAATTGATGAGACACTTTCTTTAAGTACTCACATTCAGCAATTGGTGAAGAAATTACAAGTGATTTGAGGCTTCTAGTTTAGAATTAAGAACTGCCTTTCTTTTGATGCTAAAAAGAAGCTGGTTGAGGCAACATTCATGTCGACATTGGACTATGGTGATGTTATCTATATGCATGCTTCGTCTCAAAGTCTGATTGCATTGGATTCTGTTTACCATGGTGCACTAAGATTTATTACTCATTTTAAACTCATCATTGTGTGCTGTATACTAGGGTAGGTTGGTCTGCTTTGTTCATTCGTAGGCTCAAGCATTGGCATATCCTTGTTTACAAATCTATACTGGGTTTACTCCCATCATATCTACAGACTTACATTTGTAAAAAGCCTGTTCTTAACTATGGTCTTCGGTCACAGGATATTTATTTACTGTCTGTTCCTAAAGTGCGGACTGAGATGAGGGAAAAAGGCTTTTAAGTACGCAGCACCTTTTGCTTAGAGTAATCTGCAAACTCAGTTGCAGTTCAAAGACTTGATTTCACTACATGCTTTTAAAAAGACCATAAAAGTTTCAGAAGTTGAAACACGGTTTGTAGATGTTTTGAATAGTTTGTCAGTGTAACTGTAAATTGTTTTTGGTTTGTTGTCTGTTGGACTCATGTGACTTGTGTACTGCCTAATCTTGGCCAGGATGGTCTTGTAAAAGAGATTTTTAATCTCAATGTGTCTTTCCTGGTAAAATAAAGGTTATAATAATAATACTCCATGTGTTTATTAAAGGGAAACTTCCTCATGTGGTTTTAAACCTATTTGTTTTTGTTTTTTTCCTTCTATTGAACACAAAAGAATACATTTAAAAAATGCTGGTTGCAGGCACCCACTGACTTCCTAAGTAGAAAAAAAGAAATACTAAGTCAAGGGGGGAAGCAGTGGCGCAGTAGGTAGTGCTGTCGCCTCAAAGCAAGAAGGTCTCTGGTTTGAGCCTCGGCTCAGTTGGCGTTTCTGTGTGGAGTTTGCTTGTTCTCCCTGCGTTCGCGTGGATTTCCTCCGGGTGCTCCGGTTTCCCCCACAGTCCAAAGACATGTGGTAAAGGTGAATTGGGTAGGCTAAATTGTCCTTAGTGTATGAGTGTGTGCGTGAGTGTGTGTGTGGATGTTTCCCAGAGATGGGTTGAGGCTGGAAGGGCATCCGCTGCATAAAAACCTGCTGGATAAGTTGGCGGTTCATTCCTCTGTGGCGACCCCAGATTAATAAAGGGACTAAGCCGACAAGAAAATGAATGAACGAATGAATATAGAAGTCAGTAAGAACCAGTGTTTTATAAGCCGTTAGGTTTAGAGGTAGGGATTTAATACAGATTACATCTTTGTATATTAATGATGTTCCAGGATCAACACAGATGTTAATCCAGGATCACAATCTATTTGGCAAAATCACACCCATGGTATTCACCCTTTGTTGCAGCTGTGTAATCTGTTGATGAGGCGTTTGACCTGCAGGTGGCAGCACTGTCCTTCTTCAATAACCTGCTCCTCCTCTTCCTCATCTGAAGCTGCTCGACCCTCCACTGACCTTTGCAGGTCTTCTTCTGCACACAAACATCACACAGACACCGCTAACTCATACTATAGTTTGTTATACTTTTAGTCAATTCTGGCCCTAAAGGTTCTTGAGATACTTTTATTTTTGACAACACAAACCTTTTTTGTTGACCAAACTGTTCTCAGTTCCATGTCAAACAAAGACATTCGCCTAGTTATTAATAGTTCTCATTAATAGTTCTCTTTACCTGTTTGCATTGGTTTTTGGAATAATATATTTGGTGAAATAGATTGGGAAAAGTTTTGGCTTCTTGGGGCATCACGGTGGCGCAGTGGGTTGCACTATCGCCTCACAGCAAGAAGGTCGCTGGTTTGAGCCTCGGCTCAAATTGTTCTCCCCTTTGTTGGTGTGGGTTTCCTCCGGGTGCTCCGGTTTTCCCCACAGTCCAAACACATGCAATATAGGTGAATTGGGTAAGCTTAAATCCATAGTGTATGTATGTGAATGAGTGTGTATGAATGTTTCCCAGTGATGGGTTGCAGCTGGAAGGGCATCCGCTGCTTAAAACATGTGCTGGATAAGTTGGCGGTTCATTCCGCTGTGGTGACCCCTGATTAATAAAGGGACTAAGCCGAAAAGAAAATGAATGCCCTCCCAGCCGCAACCCAGTACTGGGAAACATCCATCCACACTCATTCACACACATACACAACGGCCAGTTTAGTTTTTTCAATTGACCTATAGCGCAAGTCTTTAGACTGTGGAGGACGCCAATATGGGGAGGACATGCAAACTCCACAAAGAAACGCCAACTGACCCAGCCGGAACTCAAACCAGCGACCTTCTTGCTGTGACCACTGAGCCACCCTGTTGCCAATTTACTACATATAAATGTATATTTTTATAGAAAGTACCTAAAACATAGAACATCAGTCAATAAATTAGCATACTATCATCTTAAAAACATTGCAAGAATTAGATGCTTTGTTTCCAGTGAGGACTTGGAAAAACTTGTTCATGCTTTTATCAGCAACAGGGTGGATTACTGTAACGCCTCACTGGCCTTCCCAAAAAGACAGTCAGACAGTTACAGCTCGTCCAGAAAGCTGCTGCCAGGATTCTGACCAGAAGCAGGAAATCAGAGCACATCACACCTGTCCTCAGGTCTCTACACTGGCTCCCAGTTACATTCAGAATAGATTTTAAAGTATTATTACTTGTCTATAGACCACTAAATGGCCTAGGAAATCAATACATTACAGAAATGCTCACTGAATACAAACCCAACAGATCACTCAGATCTCTAGGATCAAATAAACTAGAAATTTCAAGAGTTCAGTCAAAGCATGGTGAATCGGCTTTCAGCTACTACGCCCCCAACTGCAGGAATCAGCTTCCGGAAATGATCAGATGTGCTCCAACATAAGGCACATTCACATCAAGACTGTAAACGCATCTGTTTAGCTGTGTCTTTACTGAATGAGCACTGTGCTGCGTCCCACAGATTGCACTATTATGTCTTTCTTTTCTCTTTAAAATTCTTTTATAACCTGTTTTAACACATTTTAATCTGTTTTTAATCATTTTATTGTTTGTTTATTTTATTTTCTTACACTTGTCTTTTTTTATTCTTGTTTATGTAAAGCACTTTGACATATATAAACTTGCTTTGCCTTACATAGTATGCGGTATATGAGCATTCAGAACATAATAGTCATTGTGATATTGTGCATGCCAGAAATAACAATAAAAAGTAATTTCTAGGGATGTAACAATATTGTAAATACCGTCATACCGCAATAGTAATTTTTTTCAATATTACCGTAGGCGCATGACTCAATAAAACTATGTTTCTGAGAAAAGTTTGCTTAGGCGAATGAAGCGAACGGGAGGTAGCGGGAACTACAATTCCCATCAGCCTAGGCGTGGCCATCATCCTTTGCGGTCTGTTGACACTACAGATCCAGTAATGCGGAAATGGAATGTGTTGCTAGTAGCGGGGAAGAAAAATAGCTGGAAATGATCGAAATCTAAAGCGGGTTTTAAATCAGATGTGTGGAAGCATTTCAGTTTCTTTCTAAAAAGATACGAAAAAGGAGAAAAGGTGACAGACAAAGAAAAAAACAGTATGCAGGCACTGCCAGACTGTGGTGAAATATAAGTCAGGGAATACGACTAATAACAGTCATGGGGACTGCAGAACACAGCACACTTGTTAGATTGATGTAGACATTGACTTGTACGGCAAAGAGACCTCTATCTCACTCATGGCTTGTCCTCTCAAATGGTGGTAAGACAATGCACAACGTTACCCACTGCTGTCAACCTTGGCTAAATCATATCTCTCTGTCCCAGAAACCTCAGTCCAAAATGAGAGGGTTTTTTTTTCTGTTGCAGGGGACATGCCCAGAGATCCCAGCTTTCACCAGATTATATTTATATAATAATTTTCCTTAAAAAAAACCCCATCTCTATCTAAGTGAGTGGGTGATTAAATGTTGAATGTGATGAGTTTTCAACAATACTAAATTAAAACTTTATTTTTTTTATATAGTTTTATAGTTTTTTGTTATGAAAATTAAAAAATTGAAGTTCCTGTTTCGAAACTTACAGATAGATGGCTGATTTGTATGTCATTGATATGTTCAGTGCTAAGGTAAATAAACACTTTTGGCACTTTTTTTGAGTCTTTTCATTATTTTTGTTTTTCCTGTAAATTATTCAATAAATACCGCAACGTGCCATTTATACCGAGGTATTACCGTACTGTGAAATTCTGATACCGTTACATCCCTAGTAATTTCTGAAGATATGAATGAGAAGTGGACTAAATGCTGATCTTTTTTTTAATTCTCCTCACCTCTTTTGATCGTAGAGTCCTCATGACCAATAGAAGAGGGAAATCCAGACCCACGCAATTCAGCCAGAATTTCAGATCTGTTCCTATTCGCCTCCAAGCAGGTGCATTGGGCCCTATGAATAAATCATAAAGCATGTTATGATCAAACAACCCTCTGTGCAGGTGAGTCCAGACTTATGCAATCAAATTTTTAAAGATCACACGAGTAAAAAAGGATAATTTCTTTAAATGTCACTTTAGGCTGTATAGAAGTGTCTTGAAAAATATCTAGTCAAATATTATGTACTGTCATCATGGCAAAGATAAAATTATTAGGAATGAGTTATTAAAACTATTATGTTTAGAAATGTGCTCTCTCTGTTAAACAGAAATTGGGGGAAGAAATATACAGGTGGGCTAATAATTCTGACTTCAACTCTATATGCTAATGCATGAGCATATTTGACTCTAGCCCCTGCAGATCTTGTGGATTTTCCGAGTGAGGAAGCAGGCAGGTTTCGACCTGTTTTTTCCAGGTAAGGAATGAGCATTACATCACCACTCTGTGCTGCTAATAATGAAATATTAACCCGGGTATTAATCTGTTAAGCGTCTAACCATCAACTTGATTGATTGCGAGGTTAATGTGAGCTGTGGGTTCATAGCACTGGCGTTTTAATGCATGATGGAGGAACAGAGATGCTTGTTTAGTAGTTCATCAAACTAAAACTAACTACAGTATGTGAAGGAGAGGCTCTGGTTTGCGTAATCTCTAATGCAGACAGTGTTTAGGAAATCCTGTTTAAATTATTATTTTTTCGGTTGTGTTTGGTAAAACTTTTTAAAGAGGAAATTACACATTCACACATACAATTGAAGTCAAAATTATTATTCTTCCTGTGAATTTTTTTCTGTTTTAAATATTTCACAAATGATGTTTACAGGGTTTCCGGAGGGTCTTAAAGTCTTAAAATGTCTTACATTTCAAAAACAAAAATTTAGGCCTTAAGTGAAGATTAATTTTAAACTAATTTCAAGAGAAGCATGTGCTCATGATTGACCCAGCTGGTCCACATTAGCTAATCATGATCCTCCAATCAAAGGATCCCAAGTCACTATATATATCCTCATTTTCTTTCTACAATTATCTTCGTCTGGAAGAAACCGCCCTCCTCCCCTTCTTCCTCTTTTATCCAGAATGGGCGGCACGGTGGCTCAGTGACTAGAACTGTTGCCTCACAGCAAGAATACCTATGGCGTCGGGTCCTCGCTAAGCCATCTGGTATTTCTGTGCGGAGTTCGCATGTTCTCCCTGTGTCCGCGTGGGTTTTCTCTGGTTTCCCCGGTTTCCTCCCACCATCCAAATGTGCTCTATATTATAGATAAAATAAGCCTAAACCTTTTTTATAATATCTTACTCTCAGGAAGTTCGCCTTGGCCTCAGCAGCGGGGGAGTTTGAGATCGACCTGAGCTCAATCTCCCCTCGCCCTGCAAAAGGAGGGAGCCCTAGGCTCGAGGATCCCTTAAGCTCAGGGCTCTCTCCCGGAACAGCATGCCAAACAAGCTATGTATAAATCATGAGCTAAGTGTGAACTCTTGAAAAAGACTTAAATCCACTGAAGTATTGCAACGTGTGTCTTAAATAATTATTTAACTGGTCTTAATTTTCCTCTGTGCAAGTAAAGCTACACAATCCGGCCGGCTAATGCACAATCTATCTAACCATCAGCAATCCATCTTAATAAAACATTTTTTTAAAGTTTATATTTAAGTTTTTTATATAATGAGATACAATTTACAATAGCTGTTATAAATATTTTACAGCAAATCCTCCAAATGAATTGCCTAATTCCCAGGAAAAGAAAGCTAAAAACAATTACGCAGTTCCTCATGATAATAACAGAGCAATATATCCCTTTTATGTTACCTTCCATTCATACCAAATGGGAGTATACATAATATTTATAAATAGGCATGAAACTTAAGGATTACCTACAGAAATGTATTAGGTTAAAATAAAGTTATAGTCAATTTGGACCAAAAGCCAACAAAATACAGTTGAAGTGAGAATTATTAGCCCCCCTTTGAATTTGTTTTCTTTTTTAAATATTTCCCAAATTATGTTTAACAGAGCAAGGAAATTTTCACAGTATGTCTGATAATATTTTTTTCTTCTGAAGAAAGTCTTATTTGGTTTATTTCAGCTAGAATAAAAACACTTTTACAATTTTTTTATAACCATTTGAAGGTCAATATTATTAGCCCCTTAAGCTATATTTGTTTCTATAGTCTACAGAACAAACCATGATTATACAATAACTTGCCTAACCTGCCATATTAACCTAGTTAAGCCTTTAAATGTCACTTTAAGCTGTATAGAAGTGTCTTGAAAAATATCTAGTCAAATATTATTTACTGTCATCATGACAAAGATAAAATAAATCAGTTATTATAGATGAGTTATTAAAACTATTATGATTAGAAATGTGTTGAAAAATCTGCTCTCCATTAAAACATAAATTGGGGGAAAAAAATAAACAGGGGGCTAATAATTCTTCCACTGTATATTTTTGATTATTTATGTAATTGTCACCACAATAAATATACATTTTTACATTGTTAAACTTTTAAATATTTTTAAACATTTTACATTGTTAATTTTGTTTGTCAAAAATAAATATTATGTTGAAAAAATAAAAGTTTTCTTGTTTTGACACATTAAAGTATGTTGCCATGAAATAGTTACATTTGGTGGCAAGCAAAAAAAATCCATTGGCCCAAACAAATCCATTGACTTTAACTGTATATGCACACATTTAACATGTTTAAGATCATTCCTTTATGTTCCTGCATCAAGAACTGTAAAACTCACTGACCACAGCCGTCTTTGATCCCTGACTGTCCTGCATCAACATGCGTCTTAGATTCTTCCCCACAGCATATAATAAGACATGCAGAGTCTGATGCTGTAATACTCACACTTGAAAGCAAATGACTAATAAGCGTTTGCAGGAAACTGTGGCGTCCTGTGTTATTAAAGCTGGTCATTAACATCAGTCAGGAGAAAATCAAGCATGCCTGTGTGACCTGCAGTCTTACTAATCTTATTCCTGACTCGTTCACACAAACTCAAACCATCAGAAAGTGCAGAGAAAACAAAATCACTTTGCAAGATTTTATGTTGATTGTGGTTTCTGGTCTGGAAATGTCGCTCTAAGATTAGACCCTGTTTTATACCTCGTATTCAGACGGATCCACAAAATGGATATGTGTTCGGACAACATGACAGAATTAAGTCAACTTATTAGTTTTTACAAATGTATGTGAATCTAACATAAAACAATTAAGTTGTCCCTAAAAAACCCCTCAGGAATTGTGTTGTTTTGGCTATTTTTAAAGTTCGGGAAACTCTTGAGTACTTTTTTTGAGATTTTACCGAATTTGTGTGTTGAGCATCAGGACAACGTTAGCAGCTGTCAGCTTTAATTGTGGAGAAACCCGGATAATGTTGAGGTTTTGTCAGCTAGTTTCATAATTTCATTCAATAATCTTTGGGGCAGGATCAAAATCGATGACGTAGCTGAGTTTTCTTATCCTATGAGAAGACCCTGCTTCTTAATTATTCATGAGAGTACATGTTTTCTGGAGGCAAAGCAGACCTGCCAAGCTGTAAAATTGGAATTGACCATCAAGATCTGCAGTTTAAATGCCGCCTATGAGAAGGTGAGACTGCGTCCGCTCAAGGCAAGCAGTATTTAGCCGTTCATGAAGGCTTGTATGTGTTTGTTTCTATATGATCCACGGGGTTTGTTGCAAGTTTTTCCCCGCGATGCTGTCAGGGCCGAAACAGCAAAGCTGTTAGTTTGCAGCAAGCATTTTTGTCGGGAGAGCTAAACAAAATTGGAAAATGGCGGACTTTGTCCAGGCTCATTTGCCCACTCCTCCCTCTGCTCGCATAGCTCTACGAACACCATGTAGCATTTTTTTTTTAAATTTGGAGGTAGACTTAAACTGAAAGAGGGGGTTCAGGGCTCATTTGGTCATGGAAAACCTGGAAAAGTCATGGACTTTTGACATGGCATTTTCCAGGCCTGAAAAAGTTGAAAAACAAAAACCCACAGAGTTTTGGAGAAGTCATGGAAATTAGTCTAACAAATATCTGTATACTTGAATTAGGGCTGTGCGATATTGGAGAAATCTGACATTACCATCTTTAGTATTTCTGTGATCTATATTGAGATGTGAATTTACAATTTCACCAGATAATTTAACAGGTTTATTTGGATTGATTGGGGGGATTTTGTAGAGGAGTGAATCTCGAATACTATAAAACAAATACATTACAAGCATAGATAAATAAAATATAGCAAAGATAAAAGTGAACTGTAGTTTTCAGGTATTCACTCTTCAGCTACAGATATTGAATAATCAACACTGCAGAGTCTTCACTGTATATTATTTCATCTTTATTAAAGTTTCATTTCTTGTGGCTGGATGTTTTAAAATTTGAAATATTGAAATGTTCACGCAGTCACAGGCCTTAAAGGGACAGTTCACTCAAAGATTAAAATGTACTCACTATTTACTCACACTTCACTTGTTTCAATACTACAGGAGTTATTAAATTATACTCTTTTTGTGTTCATAAAAAAAAAGAAAGAAAATTCAGAAATGTTTGAAACAAGTGAAGGGTGCAATGAAAATTGTAAGTAATTTTTAAGTGAACTATCTCTTTAAATATGCATGCAGATGACCAACTTTTACTCCATCATGACTAAACACTACAGTATATTAAACTAGAACCTAAAGTTCATTGATAAACTTTGATGTTGGCTTGAGAAAGCCAACGTGACTGCGCTAGGACTGGGAATGGCAGTTGGCAGAAAGCACGGCGGCGGTTGCTAAGTGGTTGCTAGGCAGTTGCTAAAACAATTATGGCATTGTTAGGTAGTTGCTAAGCAGTTGCTAAATGGCAATGCTCATGTACATGTTTGATCAAATGCTAATACTTAGGAGGCATTTCTAGCATATGTTATTGCATTTAGATAATCATTCATAGCATGTAGCTTATCGTTATTAGCAATTGGCTTCCATTATCATTGTTACCATGCATAGTACACAGGAAGTCCCATTTGCTAGCATGAGTCAAACAAGCCAATGCCCAGGTCCCTACGATGTTCTGATGTAGAGATATTGCTATTTTTAAATGGTTGCTAGGTTATACTGTTTTATTGCTATGGGGACATTTGATAGGTTAGTGATGATACATCAAAGCTTCTTGGCAATATGAGTGATCTAAACCAACCCCGATGTTTCTATGACAGTCTTTATGAGTGTCAAAAACTGGACTTGAACATTATGTATTCCTGGTGTTCGGTTGCGGCTGGAAGGGCGTTCGCTGTGTAAAACAAATGCTGGATAAGTTAGCGGTTCATTCCGTTGTGGCGACCCCTGATTAATAAAGGGACTAAGAGAATGAACATTATGTAAAAATGGCTTGCCGTATTTTTTTGAAAATACAACGCTTAATAAGTGTGAAAGTGATACATGCAAAAATAGTTTGCCATATCAATAAAAATAAGGAGTTTAAGTCAAAAATGGCTTGCCATATTTTGAGAAAAATAATGCTTAAAAATTATTTATTGGAAAACTAAAAATCCGATAAACCTTAAAGATATAGCAACAAAATCTAACACATCTAAATACAGCTTTTGGCCAAATTTGGGGCTTGTATAATTTTTTTATATGCTCGAATTATAAAAATTTTATATTTAACATTTTTTATTAAAAAAAACAATAAGTCTTATAGGCATGAGGAGATATAGCAACAATCTTGAATGTAGAAGGCACATTTTGACCACATTTGGGCCTTGTGGCATGAACGGCCTAGGAGGAGATACGTTTGTTTTCAAGGACAGAGTAGTATAACAGTATGTTGGCTTTCTCAAGCCAACATAACTATAATCCCAACACTGCATATCCTGCGATGTGACTATTGCGGATGCACACATTGCAATATCGATGCTGAAACAATATATTGTGCAGCCCGAACTTAAATATAGGTTAGTTTGTCTTTACTTCTGTTCTTGGCCAAAAACTTGCTCTCACATTGTTCGTGCTGTGTAAGCATTATCAAAATCAATTTTACATAGATATAAAAACAGATTTAAACAAAATAAATTGTTGTGTTCTGTGATATGCTGTAATAAATTTGAACGTCATTGTTTTTATTATTATTTACCATCTATATGTAGACATTACATGAAACATTACGTCATGAAAATGTACTTGAAAGTTCTGGAAAAGTCTTGAAAAAGTCATGGAATTTTAGTAGTAAAAATGTGTATGAACCCTGGAGGTTTCATGGCCCTTTAAATAGGTAGCTTGAACAAGCAGCAAATAATAATCTTTTTGGAGTGTACGTACCTGATCTTCTCCATCTGCTTCTCCAGACTCTGGACGCGCTCTCGGAGCAGATCCGCTTGTTTGGCCTGGTCTTGTAAGGTCTTAACGTGCTCCAGTCCTGCAGCCAGTGCTCCCCTGACCTCCTCCGTCCTCTTCTTAATCCGTGTGTTTTCCGTCCTGACGTTTTCCAGCATCTCCTGCATGCGGCTCAGCTCTCCGTAAGCCGCCATCAGCTCTTCCTCCAGCCTCTGGTTAAAGCGCATGGCCTCCTCCAGCTGCCCGTCTCTGGATGCACGGATCAGTTCCAGCTCTCGCAGCAGGTCTTTAGTGCCTCTTCTGGAGTCCCAGTCCATGTGTTTGGGGTGTTGGGTTTTGGTTTTGCAGTCTTGTTTCTCTAGGGTTGTGCCAAGAGTGTGTTTTCGGCGTAATGCCACCTCTAGTGATATACAGCGTGCGTCGCTGCTCTGGAGGGCTGAACGCAGGTCCTCCACCAGCTCCCTCAGACTGGCGTTCTCCAGCTCCAGCTGCTCCTGCAGTCGTCTCTGCGAGCTAATATCTACTGCAGTAAATGAAGCCAAATTAGATATCCAGTAGCAAAGACATTTATCATTTACAGGGGGGGGGGATAATTATTGAAATAATTTCAATTATTTTTTCTAGGAATAATATATCTAAAGGAGCTTTTGACATGGGATTGGACACGATTTTGGTAAAAACCCAAACAATGCACACAAAAAAAAAAAATCTGAAAAATGAGTTCTGTGTAATAACAATGAGATGACACGAGGAGAAAGTACTGAACTACTGAAACATACTTAACACTTTATATAAAAGGCTTTTTAGGTGATGGCAGCTTAAAGACGTCTCTCATATGGATGATGAAGTCACATGCATTGCTTGGGTGTGAGTTTTTCACAGACTTCAACAGACTGTAAAAATCTTGTTGGCTCTGTGTGTCTTAAATCTGATCTTTATTGTTTTTACTCTATTGGATTTAGATCAGGTGATTGGCTGGGCCATTCTACAGCTTGATTTTCTTTCTCTGAAAGCAGTTTCCTTGGCTGTGTTTTGGGTCATTGTCTTGCTGAAATGTCCTCCCTGGTTTTTATCTTCATCATCCTGCTAATGTAGATGTTGGACTGAAGCAGCTGATAGTCATTTACACCGACGAAAGGCAGAGGGTTACTGAAGAACTACTAAGAGATTTCAGATGCTGTCTGAGCTTTCACTGCTTTTCTAAACCTCCCTTTCTTCATGTGTTCAATACTTTTACCCTGCGTCATTTCATTTTATTACATATTATTTCAGTTGTAAACTAATGCTTTCTTTGCATACATGGATACCAACAATAATAAGGCTAATAGTTTTGACTTCAACTATGTATGCATGTTCTTTTAATTCTTAATACTATCTTATTTATTATTATTTTAAAATGTTATTTCATTTTTTTTTTATTAAAATAGTTTTCTTTAAAGGTTAGAGTTACATCCAGCATTGCAATTAAAATAGAAAAGTAATTGTAAGCAAATGTATCAGCATCATCACTTTCGCAGCTAGTTTATCATAACTGTAAGGTTTAAGTAAATTACTATTAAATAACTTATTTTAATAAATATTTGATAATTCAGTATAATTCAAGCATCTTGTTAGATGTGTAATCTTGATTTTAAATGAAATTTTATAGATTTAAATTATTGACTTTTTATTAGATAAAACAAAATAGTTGTTTCATTCTTAATAAAGTTGCTTTGGGTTTTATTTTTAGTAGACTAAAACCCTGTAAAAACTGTAGTTTCATTATTTCTCAATGGCGCAGACATTATACTCCTGCAAATCTTCCATAAATAAATCATCATTAATTATAATTAAAGGCTAAAAATGTCCCCTGAGGCTTGGGGTTTTTGGATGGCAAAATACAGCTATTAAATTAGTCTTTTTGACAGCTTAGGTGTGTGTGTGCGCGTGCTTGTTTTATTATCCCGGTGGGGATTTAAATCTGTATGCACAGACTCATTAGGGACTTGTGTCACTATTGGGCACCCAAATTAAGGATCCAATGGGTAAATAAATCTCACTAAACCACACTAAACTGTACTGAACTGAACTTACACTTTGAAAACTGGACTGACACTGTTTTAATTTACTATAATCTTCTACGTGAAGCTGCTTTGACAGTTTACATTGTAAAAGCGCTATACACATAAATATTAATTGAACTGAACTGAATTGAATAAATCATACCGCATAAAAAAAAAGATATTTTAAAAGTGTAAAAAGGAAGTTGTTTCCTGTGAGGGTTGGGTTCAGGGTAGGGTTGAGGTAGGAGGATTGAATGTAGAGTTTGTACACCAGGAACACCCTTACGTCTTGGGGAGTCCCAATCAAGATACACAGTAAGAACAAGTGTGAAATCATTATAGCCAATGAATGACTATCAAAGCACAACATTGTTCACAGTCAGTTAAATAGTGCTGTTTTGAAGTCATATTTACATGCAATATCTGACCAATATTCAAAGTAGCATGGTTAAAAAATACTGGGATCGTGTCATAGGTTTTCACTGAATAAATGTGCGAATAAAACCTACTTTATCTCAGTTGTCTATGGAACAAGAACAAGTTTGTGTTTATATATGATAAGCTCTTTCTTACCTACGCTTCTCTTGTTCTCCACAGTAGTGTTGATCTGCTGATGATCCAGACTCTGTGCGGGTCCGGATCTTCTCGCTGTCCTCCTCCGGTTCTGCTGCTCGGCGGACAGATCGAAACTGACACACTTTCTCCTCCGGACGCGCGGACAGCGGAGTCTGATCTCCCTCTCGATGTGTTCGGTCTCCTCGCTGACCAGCAGTCGAGCTCCTGTCTCACCCTCCGGGGCTTTTAAAGAGAAAAACCTGCAAAGTCGCGCGTGGAAGTCTTTAAAGTTGAGCACGCGAGGAAGTCCATCAGTCTCCGCACTCCCGGTGATGCCCAAAACTAAACACAGACTCCTAAAGTCCTCATCCGAGACGAGATCTTCTCCGTTGTTAAACGCCAAGTGATGAAACACCTCCTGGAGATACTGGTCCACACCGGTAGCCAAAACCACGATCTCGTTGTCCGCGCAGGGGTCCGGGCTGAAGTGGTGCGAGAGCGCGCTTTTCAGCCACTCGCTTTTACGCGCCGCGCGAATCCGCGAAACCTGCATGACTGAAGGCACCCGCAGAAATACAGCTTCTTCACACAACTTTCTTCATTGCGAATTTGAAAAATATGTTTTAACTTGTTGAAAGCTTACCATAAAGGAGTATAAGTGTTGACGCCTTACATTACAGCGCTTATAGAGCCGAACAGTAATTAGCTTAATCTATAATGGCTTCAAAATCTCTTCCTCAGACTCTTGCTTCAGGGTTTGTGGTCGTGTGTGTCTTCAAAAGACACACTCCACCCTTTGGATTGACAGAGGTGTGTGTGCGCGCGCGCGTGTGTTTTCCAGGGCGCGTGAAAGCTTTCAGATCTGTCCAATCACTGCGCACTCCATGCTGAGGCTTTTTTGGAGCCCGACCAAGAAAATTGATCTTCCATGGAGTTTGAAGACACTTAATACAGGTAGTGTGGACTCTTTTAAATGGCAGCTTTTATCTGAGTTTACAGATCACTTTGGGGGAGTTTTCAAGCATGACTCACTGGCTTATAAGAGCCTGAAGTGAAGCAGGTAACACCCAAGTAGATTTAAGATATGCTCCCTGCAAAGCCTGATGTTTACAGACTACATGAGTGACCCTGAATCACTAAATTCTTATGTTGCAGATGTAGATTTGTGGGAAGAGCCATAAATTGATTGTATGTGTCAAAAATATATGCCAAAAAATCATTAAATATCACGTTGAAAACATTTTCTTCTGTAAATATATGAAAATGTATTTTTAATTAGTCATTTGCATGGCTGAAAACTTGATTTGGACACCTTTAAAGGCAATTTTCTCAATATTTAAATTTTTTTAAACCCTTATTTTCCAGATTTTCAAATAGTTGTATCTCAGTCAAATATTATCCAGTCCTAACAAACCATACATCAATTAAAAGCTCATTTATTCAGCTTGATTATGTGTATTATTCCAAAAATGTACCCTTTTGTCTGGTTTTGTTGTCCAGGGTCACATACACACACACACACACACACACACACACACACACACACACACATATATATATATATATATATATATATATGTGTGTGTGTGTGTGTGTGTGTATATATATATGTATATATAAATTTTAGGCTTTAAAAGGTTGTAAATCTACTAAACTATTGTGTTATATATGTCTTAAATCTTTTGTAAACAGGTCTTAATTTTTCTTTGTTCATGTATAGCCATCCAATCTGGCCATTAACACCTATACAATCACAATTAATCCCTATCTTGATAAAGTTTTTACTTTTTTATTTAAAATAGCATTTAATTACTTTTCTTACAGTAGCATTTACTTAAACGTTCTCCATTTATTTACTGCTGTGGCGACCCCAGATTTAATAAATGGACTAAGCCGAAAAGAAAATATATAGCTCAGGTCAGTATCCTCTACTGACCTGAGCTATATTTTTTCTTTTCGGCTTAGTCCATTTATTAATCTGGGGTCGCCACAGCAGAATGAACCTCCAACTTATCCTGCGTATGTTTTACGCAGAAAATGCCCTTCCATCCACAACCCATCACTGGGAAACACCCACACACACTCATACACTATGAACAATTTAACCATCATTTCAACCAACAAATTAACTTCTTTGGAGTTGTGGGGGAAACCGGGGCAGCTGGAGGAAATGCGAACATGAGAAGAACATGCAAACTCTATACAGAAATGACAACTGACCCAGCCGAGGCTCGAACCAGCGTCCTTCTTGCTGTGAGGTGACGGCGCTACCCACTGCACCATCGTGACCCCCTAAGTTATTATTATTGTATTATTAAATGTGTTCAATTTTAATAATTTTTTGACAGGGCTAGTGAAAATCTTTTCTAACTGGGATATTTAGGGATAAAAAGTCTTTAACAGTCTTAAAAACTCTGTGAAAACTGCAGAAACGCTAAAAAAATGATTAAAGTTTAACACACTTTTTGTGAAATTGATTGTGATTAATCCCACTTTATTGCTTTAATAATTTCATGTTCAATCAAAGAATTACAGAAACAACATCTTTATTATAACTGAAGGCCAGTATCACTGATTCCCCTACAGGAAATGTTCTTTGTAACTAAATATTTTACTTAAATGTAATGGTTTTAATTGTAACAATAAAGCCTGGTCAACTACCACCGTAATAACTACTAAGTAGCAAATTAGGAGTTTGATGAGCTAAAAGTCATAGTTAATGTTTATTAAAAGTGAGAATAGTACCTTAAATTAAAGTGTGACCAATGTAATCTTACAATTAAAATACACTTTTATTGAGTTTTTAACGTCTTGTCGAGTAGTGTAATCTTATAGATAAACTGGACTGGCTACTATTAATCCACATGCAAAGTTTACAAGTAATGCAAATATTTCTGAATCCTGCAGATTGGACTGGACTAAAATAAAAGTCTGTAAATTATAGTTTCACACATTGAACAAAGTTAAACTAAAAACTAAACTAAAAAACATTCATTTAACCTGCAGTTCTCATGTCATGTGACCAGATGAAGAAAGGGCACTGCTCATGTGCTTTTAGTTTTTATATATTTCTGATGTGAGTTTGATTACCATCTTGCATGACATACTGCCATACTGAAAGCATCAGCAGATAGTTTACCTCAATATTAAAAATGAAATAATTGCAGCTGGAAGGGCAACATATACACTTGTAATCATGTTCATCTATCCCTGTACATATATTCATATATTGTAACATATACACTTGTTATCATGTTTATCTATCTGAACACTACTGTTTATTAATAGCAACCTGCACATATATTCATATATTGTAAATCTGTTCATAGCTTATCCAACCTGTATTTAATGTTCATAGTACATCCATCTGTAAATATCACCATAGTTTTCTATAACTGCACTTTATAACTTATTCCTGTATCCTGCACTTGCTGCTATTGCACTGCTGGTTAGACCTAAACTGCATTTCGTTGCATTGTACTTGTACATGTGTAATGACAATAAAGTTGAATCTAATCTAATCCGCTCCCTAAAAAATTCATGCTGAAGAAGTTGGAGGTTCATTCCGCTGTGGAGACGCCTGATATATAAGGGACTAAGCCGAAGGAAAATGACTGAGTAAGTGTAATTTTTTTGTCTTCACCACAATAAATGTTTTTGATTTAGATTAAATTAAATATTATAGTTTTAACCAGTTATTTGGTAATTAGTGAAGTATTTTAAGAAAGACAAAGCTGTGACAAATACAGTCATTTTTTAAAAGTTGGTTCAAAGTGTAGTTGTTTTTCAGTGTAGAGCACAAATACAAACACCAACCACTGCTAGGTTTCCACTTCATGTCACTGACACTAGATACTCACCTATGCAAAAACGGCAAGAAAATGAGCTACAGCTTGAGTCATGGGCTTTTGTTTCCTGCCAGTAACTTACAGTAGGTTGATATGGGTGACTTCCAGTAAAAGACCCTTGAAGACACCTGATACAAAAATCCTCTGTCAGGATAGCACTCGGGAAAACAACCGTCCTCACCTTAATAGCCTATCATCTTAGTTCATGACAAATACTGTCATCCCGCAGGAAATACTCCCACTATTACACTTGATAGTTCATTCCGGCATGTGTCATTTTTGTATTTGCCCACCAAACCTTTTCTTGTGTGCAGTGACTCAGAGAAAAGTGCCTTTGTTGACAGGTAACACTAAGGTAAAGTCGCCTGTCAGTGTTTTTTTTTTTTTTTTTTGGAAGCTGAATCACGAGTGAATCGCTGTCCTACTTCTGTTGTTATGCCTTAAATCTACTTGAATCGTGTTATATCTCTTTGTGCAGCGCCAGATTGTCTATCTAGATGTGAGAGATCATCCTATCATGCATTTTCAAGTTTCTGTCTGGTCTTGATGAGGCAAGTTGAGACTTTGCAGACATAGATTTGCATAACAGTTTTGCATGCTGTAAGTCAGTCGTAGATCACAGTGTTTGAGTATTCGGTCCATCAATCTCATATTTTAATTTGGCTATTAGGTTTTGACGTTGTCTAGTGCAAACATTACTGTAAAGTATTATATGTTTTTATTATATATGAGTATTATATATATATATATATGTATATGTGTATGTATATATAAATATTTAAAATAAAAAATTTTTTCCTGTTCTGGCCGACATGTGTTCAGGGCCGGCGCGTCCATAGAGGCAACCCATGAGGAATAGCGAGCGAACCCCCCGGTCCTCACATTTATCCTCTACTCCCACCCCCTCCCTCACGGTCCTCAGCCTTCCATACAAATAAAACAACGTGATTAACGTTTGCCTAGAGCGCCAGTTCAGCTTGCTCCGGCCCTGCGTGTGTTTAACATGCAAAGAAACTTGGATAAGAGCAAGGACGCACTTTTAGAAGAAAAGCGTCAGTATAAAACAAATAATGACGCATCTTCAGGCTATCCTGCGTTTCCTCCTGAGTTTCATGCAATTTAGGTGTTTCATTTTTAATATTTAGACTTCAACTGCAGTTCACTCTCATTCGTCATATTTTCATTCAGGATGTTTTAATGGAATTTGATACTGCATGGCGAACGGAAAGAAAAACCTCCATATTTCAGGACTCGCATGGTCATTTAAGATAATCAAAAATCACTGTTTACATGTTCGACTCTTCATCAGTATTATTTTAATCATCAAAGCTGAGTATTGGTGTCCATGTGAATGAAAGTGCCAGATGAATTTGCAAGCTGTAAAAGACATTTCTCTGCCCTTAAGCTGCGTCCCTTATGTTTCATTAAGTTTGACGTGTTTCCCCCCTTTTGTAAAGCGTCTGCTCCATGTTCCTCTGTCAGAATCTTTGCTTGTTAAATACAGCCATACTTCAGCACGCTTAGTTTAAGCAAATTTAATAATTAATAAACGCGATTGTGCGTGTTGATGAATCTGAAGGGATTCCTCTCACTCACCGGCACTGCGCGCGTTGTCTGTGTGTGAGCTTGCATGCGTGCGCGTGTGTGTGTGTGTGTTTGTAGTCCACTTAGAATCCAACATGGAAAGCATTTTTGTTTGTTATTGGCATGGATTGTTTTGAAACTTAAATGGCACTTACATGCCTGTGTTTTTACTTCTGTAATAAATACGGCATTTCGTGATTAATCATGATATATTAAAATATATTAAAATGGTTGCCTCCTTGTTTTCTCTAGCTTGCAAATTATGTATTTAATTGTGTTTTGTTACTTGTAACCACTTGTACTGTATCAGGTTAACTTTTTATATTCTCATATGTTTAATGCCATGTTGAAAACGCGACGCATGCTGCTTTGTTTACAGATTTAAATGCGATTGTGAGCTCGCATTCCTCTGCCGTTTTTCTTTGCTATGGCAACCATCAACTGTTCCTACACTTGTGCGACGTTCAAGATTCAAAATAGTTCTGCTTTTGCTGCTTTGTGGATTATTATGGAATGTGTGTCATGGTTAAAAATAGAGCAATATGCTATTGTTTAACTGCACTGCTTTAATGCACTCCTGCATTGGGCTCACATACATGCCTGCCAATATTTGTCCCTGAAAATCCGGGATACCGGGGGGATGGGGGGGGGGGGGGGGGGTTAGGTTTGGGGGTGAGGTGTCTGAATAACACTGTTGAGAGTGTTGAGTGTGGTGTTAGTAACTACTATGAAACGTGTTTCTGGCGGCTGCTGCGATTGGATCATATACCAATGTTGGCAACCTAAGGAGGGTTTTGGGAACAAATGAATCAGCACAATTCATATGGGATTCGCTGGGATAATTAGGTAAACACAAATGCATATTATAATACAATGAAAGTGTTTTTTGACCTTGCATGTATATCAGCATGTTGTTGGAGACCCTTGAAACCAAAATATGACCCTTTTTATTGTATAATAGGGGCTCTTTAATCTTTTTTTTCACTTTGAATTTCTTATTTATTTATCATTTCAACCAAATCAACCGCCAAAAAAATCATACAGTTCCTTTGACCCACAATCTGAAAGAA